TTATATATATATATATATATATATATATATATATATATATATATATATAATAAAGATAAAAATATATACCCATATAGTATATATAATTAATCTATATACTGAAGAAAGCCCACCTTTATTGTTAGTGTGCCTGTCCCTTTAAGTTGCGATCTATTTATATTAGCATTCTGTAGCCAAACGTGTACTCATAAAAAAAAAAACTAAAATAAATATATATATACTTTAAAAAATTCCATACAGAGAGCCCATATTCTTATCTTCTGGTAACGCGGAGTACATGTCAGATTAAATAATACTACTTCAGCGATAGTGTTACTTTATTGTATGTCTCGTACCGTGTCCGTTGGTTGTGCTGTTCTTTTTACATCTCTTTGCAGGTGATGAAGCAGACTGAAGATGTTATCTCCCTTTTATCTCCTCTTTCTTTCATCTTTCCTCCCTTTTTTTCTGTTTTCCCTTTCCTGCTCTACTTACATTGCAGTGTCCATATAATCTGTAAAACTCCCTGCATAATTATAATAAAACAATTTATATGCATAAATCAAGCGGAACACTATGGCGATAGCCGTACTGCTCCACTTGTGAAAGCAAAATCTGTTGGGCTCTTTTTGGCATCAAGACAAATATTCTTATTACCAAATTGCCAGACAGGACACTGTAAAAAAAAAAAAAAAAAAAAAGTTTTTTATCTCAAACAAGCCTGTCATGTTGACAGAGCTACTGTCAGACAGGTTTATTCTTTGCATATCTGTCTTTAAGTCTTGCTTTGTCTGTTACCTAAGTGGCGCTGTTGACAGAGAGATTGCTGCTTCCTAGGGGATTGCTCCTTGTTCTATTCCTCTGTAGTTTACCTCTGCTTATTTTCATGTTGAAGCCACTGAATGAACTTCAGTTGTTCGTCAACATGCAGCCAATTTCTCCAAAGTCCTGCTAATGACCTGACTATTGGGCTTAGATGTGTTAAAGCAGAGACACAAACAAAAGTTGCAGGACAGCAAACATTGCAATTTAAGACCACTACCATATAATGCAGCCCTAGCTTTGTACATGTGTGAGGGTTTGCTTCAACGACAACTACAAAACAAGCAAACACATGCTCATCTGGGAGGAGTAGATCCTGCAAAGACAATGATCAAATTCTATTGGATAGCTTAGATTGAAAACATTTAATTGATCTATCTGCATGATTTCGGTAAATATCTCTGTGAATTGCTTTGTCTTTCCTTTTGTGCTGTGCTCTGGCACAATAAAAAAACTCAAATGAATTAAAACTGATTTTAATTACTTCTGTATACTTCCTGTCCTTTCAGCCCCTGCTGATTGTGAATGATTGCTACTTCATGAGCAAACTCTTAAGGTTCCCATCTGTTTAAAAAGAAGGTTTTTCTCTCCACTGATCCCCCAGAGGAGGAGGATCAACCTGCCATTAAATTAAACTTAATTGGAAAGTTTTCTATCATAAAGTGCATTTAAACAGATTTAAATAATCTAATAAAGGACAGAGTGATGGACTAAATATGGTTTCAAAAGGATTTAGGTGTAAAAGTGTTTACAATTAGTCAAACACTTGGTATCATAGTAAAGTGGATTAAATTAATACATATAATGCAGAATGCATTTTATCGAAATGCATTCTGCCAAAAAATATGGCTGAAGTCAATAGTTTTACTCACAGAATAAAGAACGTTAAAATGCATTACAGTGCTAAATATGAACAGTTATGCTTATATTGCTTAAGATTGGTATTTGTGAAATGATTTTTGCTTAAATCAGCTCTTTGGTCGTTTTTATTAAGTTAAAAGCCCACAGCTTGGACTATTATGTGAGAAAGGTCAGGTGTTCATATTTTGTACTGCATAAATGGCAGGCTGAATAAAATGTGTGTTTTTAATAAAAGAGGCTCAGAATCTTGTTATTTGGTATGAAATTAGTTTGGCTCATAGAAATTCAAAATCACTCTGTTGGAATATTTTCAGCATAATCATGTTTTCCCAATTCATCCGTTTTGTTGCTTTTAATGTCCTCTGGTAACAGGGATGAAGCTCTATTAACCGTGTAATAAAACAGATTTTTTTCTTTCATCATGAACTTTAAATTTAAGATTTTAAGGTATGATTAAATCCCTTCCTTCAGATTCTTTTTTAGGTTTCTTTCTCACTATGGTGTTAAAATAAATGTTTTTCTTTCTTTACTTTTTAGAAACATATTGAACTACACTGCAAAAATTATCTAGAAATAAGTAAAAATGTGTTGAATACAATGTATTTACCCTTAATTTGGTTAATCAGACAGGTAAATAAGATTATTTGCAAATGGACAGGATATTTTTATTCTTCAAATAAGATAATATGAACTAGAAATAAGACGATGCAGTTGTTTTTTTCTTATTTTAAATTTAATTTGTCGTGTTCCATTGGCAAAGCGTCTCACTTACCTCCTCATTTCAGAAAAAAAATATTATTTTAAGAAAAGATGACCGATTTAGATTTCTATAATTTGCAGTGAAGCAGATGGTTTTAAAAATCAAAATTCATCAGAAGTATTGTTGCAGACAGTCTTTTTTCTGCTGTTTTTAGGAGAATTTATTTTATAAAATGTTCTGTAATTATATGTCAACCTCCTAAGAATAAAAAAGGCCAGAAAAAACACAATGTATTGCTATATGGGGTGTGCACAAAGAACATAGTCACTGATTTGTAGCTCTACAATCTGAAACTTAAACACATCACTGGTTTAGAGGCAAAATACAAAGCAATACTTAAACAAGAAAACTGATATTTACAAAAACACTCTAGATACACTTCAACAAAGGTAGAAGGCTGCTTCTCTGCTACTTTAAAAGAAAGAAAGAACAAAGTGGGATTTGGCAGGATATTGATTTTATGGCTGCAAACAACGACTTACAACAAAAACAGAGCAACAGTCTGACAGCAAGTCAGGTGTCAAAGAGTTTGCTTTTCTCTCCAGCAAAGATCCATCTCTTCAAGGATGTTTGCATTGTCTTCAGACTGGAGTTGTCATAGAAACAATAACGCTGCAGTACCTAAGATTTACTTTTGACTATTATACTTCTGAGTTTCTTCTCATTAGATTGGTAGATCAGTTCCTCCTGTTTAACAGTTAATTAACACCTTTAGTGTCATCTATTCTTTTTTATATATCTAACTCTACTATCAGGTCTTATAGGGGTAATACATAGGTAATCATGCAGAATAGTAACCTCTTAATTGGAGCAAATATTTCAAACTCAACATAAATATTAAAATATTAACAAGTTGAAAGAGATTTCGATCTAAAGTATGTATAAAAATAGAGGTTTCACTTCCTGGTTCAACAGCTAATATCAAGACATAAATAATCGGAAAACCAGATAATTATGTGTGAATGAGAGAATTGTGGATCCCATTTTAAAATTTGAACGCCTAAATGCAAGATGCTGTAGAAAAGACGAAAAAAAATCACAGGAAACAAAAAAATTTTTCTTGTTACGCTTGTTTAATGATCCAACCCTGTTCCTTTTTCATGCTTAGAAACAGAACCAAAAGGTTTGGGTGGAGCTACTTAGGATTAGTTTTGAATGAAAAAATTAATGAAAAGGAATTTATTTCAAACATCTTTGACAAGCAACAATAAATAAATCAACTATTTCAAACAAACAACCAAATACACACAAAAAGAGACTGGTTAATTCCAAACTAAATTCAAATTTCCAAACAAACGGCTGCTTATTTTTTTCAGTGTAAAGCTTGCACTCAAGCCAATCTTTTTGGTCCTTTCTCTGTGGGAAAACAATAGAAAGATGGTTTATCTACCTCCTAGACATAAGTACAGGATCCATAAGCAACACAAGACTGTGGCATAAAGACAATTTTTACAGTAGGCCTATCTATATACAGTCAGAAACAATCGTTTACGTCGTAGTTTACCCCCCCTATAACGGTGGATGTGATGCCCCCAATTTATGTCGTCCCGCTATTCTATCTGTTCGTTAAATGATGGACAGCTTACAACAGTAGAGGGAAAAAAATATCAAAAAAAAATAAACTTTGATCCAGACTAGGGCTGAAACAATTAATTGTGATTAATCAATTATTGAACTAATCTTCAACTAATTTAATAATTGATTAGTCGTTAATTGGAATATAGAGACAGTAAACTATGCCTTTAGCTGACAGAGAGACCCACTTAGAACAGTTATTATACCAAGATTGTTAAAAATATATAAAAATTTTGCATTTCAGACAAAAAATAAATACATTTTCATCCATCAATATGCTCTATTCAGAACTCCTCAATTGTAAACGTTTTAGATTCACCTGGTTTAATTTAGCAAAAAAAATCTTCTTTACAGAACCTTTAGCTAGGTGATTATTTATTAATTAATCAAAAAAATAGTCAACATATTAATCGATTTGCAAAGAAATCGTTGCAGCCCTAATCCAAACACAGGAAACAAAGAATTTCAGACTCAGTATAGGAGAGTTACTCCAATGTGCAGCCAAATTTATCAGCACAATCTAGAAGAACAATTATATGGATTTTTAGAGAAGGTATTTTAGTTCTTTAAAGTATTGTTTTTAACTTGGTGACAAATCAGAAAACTGTGTGAAAAAGTGACACAAATGTTTGATAGGCAGACAATTTTATTTGAAATGAAGACTCTATCTGCCCAACATGAAAAGGCTCACATTTAATATGTGTAGAAAGCCAAAAAAAGGCTTTGTGATATATAGCATATGACATGAAGAACATGAATTATAGCTAAAACTATGGCAACTAAACAACACAAAAAAACATTAAAAACCTAATGCTTGTGCTGAATTTCTACAAGCTATGCAATGATATGCAGTGTGAGCATAGTTTTAAAAACATATAATTTCACTCTTAATCTGTAAAAGGGAGTTTCTTTTTAGTTCGTCCTTCTTGGCTTTTATTTTGAAGGACTTCCTCTCTGCAGCCATCATTTTAAACATGAAGAACAGTTCAAATCACGACTTGTGCTGCTTGCGTATTCAGAAAGAGGTATAGAGTTGGGTTCTCGCTCTGTCACCAGGTACTCCTCGTTGTTCAGGATGTGCTCCACCAAACAGCGGACTGCCTCCTCGATGTTTGTATTTTCCTGATGATCAGAATACAAAATACATTTTGAAGAAATGTCCTTTATATACAAGTATACTGCCGTAAGCCATGATAATAATTCTAAACATTAATGGAGGTTGCATTGCTTTCATTCCAGCCCTACTCCGCTCTGAAAGACACTTTCAAAAGAACTAATTGGTTTAAAGACATTCCAATAACTCTATAGTAGTTTAAAAGCTAATTAAAACTCCTTTCAAATTTTTTATAAAAAAAATTTGTTCTACAAACATCAAATTTTAACAAAACTTTGATATCATTGCATAATTTTATCGGTAATGGTTTTCAACCATTCTATGTGTAATTAGTAGTTACCCAGTTTTAGTTGACTTTTAGTTACTTAGTTAAGTTGACATGAATTTGAGTTATTTTGTTGAGGATTCTTCTATTTTCTCATAAATGTATTCATTATGTGTGCAGAGTTAACTCTTGACCATCATCTGAGCCTGAATTCCACTTTCATCAGTCAGCAGGACAGTCCGAAATTAATTTTAATAAAAATTTAATATTTTGTTTTGAAATTGTTTTGATATATTTTTTGCAACTTGAAAAAATTGTGACATAATTCTTCTGGCATACAGAATCAGAAGGGGGAGCTAGACTTATCTTCGATTTGTCTGTTGCTAGCTTCGAAAGTAACTTTTGTTTTAAGCAAATCGATCAACTTTAAGGCCACCTTCTTGTGCCTTAGTGGCAACTCCAAATGTTTTATTTACAAACTAACTTTTTATCATTTTTTTAGTATTTTTTCAATTCCTATCTGTAGAAGGCTTTAAATACACTGGTGCACTCATGGATAAAAATCAGTAGCATGGGTCAGGATGATGCAGCATGATGTCATAAGCGGTGTTACCTTTGCAGAAGTCTCAAACCATCCTACAAACCCGTTCTCTCTGCCGAAGGAGTCCAGTTTGGGGAGCTGGCACGCTATTTGGTCTGACTTGTTGGCAAGAAGTACTGCAGGAACTGGTCTCCCATGGTTCAAAGTCAACTTGAGAAACATAGAAATTAGATCACATTATAACTGTACCATCTGTGGTGATGTTATTTATCTTTTTACTTGATTTTAACTGGACTCTTCACACATGCAGTATGTTAGATTTTGATTTAAAGTCATCTTTTAGGTTTCTTATGACTGGAAGTTATACTAGTGTTTTAGAGTATTCTGAATTCAGTCTGATGGAGAATCTGTGGAGGCAGCCAAAGATTAGGGCAATGGCAAAAGGCTCTCTGAGCTCAGAGACATGAAGGACACTATCAAAGACAATCTTTCAACATACAAGTGAAAATGAACAAAAGCTGGTCAGCAGTCATGAGAATTATTTCAATAAAAAACAAAACTTAAAAAAAAAAAATACTTCATAATATTTTGTTAAATCTCTGTTACTGTATATCTGCTCTAGCAATGTGCCTCTATGTCAATTTCTTATTATACCCCGTGTGAAAAGGAAGTTATAAACTTATACTTTCCAAGAGTATACATTTTTTTGACAACTTTTACTTTTAGTTCACTACATTTACAAACTTAATTGCATACTTTTACTCCGATACATTTTCAATGTTTGGTTTAGTTACTAAGTTAAAAAATAAAAAAAAAACGAGCGAGAGAAACCAAGTGTTTTGACCCCACCTACTGACTACAAAGTCGGTCTTGCCTTGGCTTGTTCATCAACACCAATAGGATACGCCTGTTTCACAAAGCCAGTTTAAATTTATCCTAAACTTGGTTGTTTATTTTATTTTAAGTGAATTTAACCTTCAAAGTTTACTAAAATGTAAAAAAAAAAATGTCATTCCATCTGCACTACTTTTTGCTTATACTTTTCACTACATTACTTGAGTACATCTATTTTCACAGTAATTCTTATACTTAAGTACAAGCCATTTCAGATACTTTAAGACTTTTACTCAAGTAACATTTCAGTCAGTGACTGGGACATTTACCAAAGTCATATTTTGGAGAGGTACTTATACTTTTACTTGACTCCGAGATTTCAGTACTTTATACAACACTGGTTATAAAAGTAAATTGTTTTAGTCATAGGATGCATATCTTAATTCCAGATCAAATCTGATATTTTAGGGAAACTGTATTTGTCATGATTGTGCCCTTTGTGGACCTCTGTTTAAGTTTATTTTTTAAGTTCTTGGTTTTACTTTGACTTATGTTATTTTGTGTTTTCTTGATGATTTGCTTCTTTTCCATTTTGTATTATATTTAAGCAGTGTTTTTTTTTTTAGTTACTCTCTGTTGCCCCCTTGTGCAAGTCTTCTTTCCCTTATCTCCTTCTAGTTACTTCTGTCTACACCTGCTCCCTATCAGCCAATCAGTCCTCCTATTGTTTCTGTCTCTTATATATGCACCTCCTGTCCAGTTACTCTTTGCTGGATCCTCCTCATTCTTTTGGTTAATTGGTGAGTTTTTGTGTCTATCAGTTCTGGACTAAGGATTTCGTATTTTTACTTTTTCATTAAACTTTGCAAGCAATCTTCCGTGCTTCTTCGACTCTGCATTTGGGTCCACAACTACACCCACCAACCATGACAGCAGTGATGGGTTAATGAGGCATCTTGAAGCATTTGATCAACAGATTCCCAAACTGTATTGATACTGTCTCACAGAATACTGACACCTGCTGGACATTTAAAGACACTACAGGCAGCTTATTTGACAGACTTAACTGAATTGATTTGATAACCAAATACAATAATATAACTTAAGTTATTATAGGTTGTAGTTGATTATTTCATATATATTTTTAAATTGAAAATATGTTTTGATATGCAGGCAATAAATAATGTAAACATATTTCATTGAGGGGAAAATGTGAATAAGGATGCTTGTGGACTAGGATTTTGAATCATATTTGTAAAACAATAAGTACAATAAAAACAGTTATTATCTAAGAATAAATTTGAAATTAACTTTTAATTCAGATAATCTAAATAAAAACGCAACAGCTGAAACGTTCCTATTCCTTTAATCTGCTCTAAATTCTTAATAATTTTAATTATAAACCCCAAAAGACATTTTTTAGCAGATGCATGATGTTGACAGATATGTTTGTTAAACACAGTTTAGTGAGTCAGGCTTTCTTAGAAACGACAAGCACACCGATACAGTGTTTTGCTCTTTAGGCTTGAGGCATGCACCAATGCATTGCTGTTACTGGACCTATCACTACATGACAGTATTTGCTTTAATAATATATATTACTTTCAACGACACTCGGCTTATAAAAGTAAAGGGTGCATTTCCAAAATGCTGCAATTACATTTATTTTTGAATTATTAGTTCTGCGTTAGTTGTGGAAGTTATTCCCATATAAAATGATTGTATATTGTATCCTCTCTATATTAAAAATAAGTTCATACCTTTGAAGAGAAAACATTATGCTTACAAAATTCGATAGTATTTCACAAAATATTTCAATAGACTGGAGGGAATTAAGAATATTTGTGATGCAAAAGAATAGAAAGCAGGCAGTACAAGATAAACAAGATATTTTTTATCATGAAATGTATAAAACTATACTTAAAAAAATAAAATTACACTTCGCAATTTTTAGTTTTTTTTACAAAAAGCTACACTGTTTGCCATCTTTATTACTTAATAACTGTAAATTTTTCCACTCTTGGAAGGAAAGATGACACGCAGCAATTTGCATGACATGCATGCAATTTGTTATTTCTACAACTAGATGTCACCCCATCCAACTTTTGCAATCTGACTCACTCTTAGTAGAAACGGCAGAACATTAACATCATTTTTTTGTTTTTTGAATCATTTTCTATATTTGCAAAAAAGAAAGTAACTACTGCTCAGAGTCTCATAAGAACTCATAATGTTGTAGTTGAACAGCTTTTTCTTCACAAAGAAACATTTTTAAAACATGATATGCTCAGTATTTCAATTTGGTTTTTAAATGAAAATATAATCAAGATAAAAAGCTAACAATCTAAATATATCAGTAAGCCTCAACCTGAATGTGCCTCCAACATAGGACACATCATCACCATCATTCTAGTCAGCAACTGTTAACACTGTATGACCTGAAATCACTGTGATGTGATGGTACCCATGTATTTTCATCCATGTCACTTGAGATATTTCATTTGCTGTATGCTTCTCTTTACTCTGGTTCAGATTTTCACAGGCCAATTTAGGGTCCATCACTAGTGGCGGACTCTAAATTTGACATACCTAGAAAATAACTAAAGTAGGACCTATATTCAGTGGCGCCGCAAGGGGGTGGCCAGAGGTGGCCACGGCCACCCTGTGCAATGCCCTGTCCACCCCACTGGCCACCCTACTTGCCACCCCACTGGCCAGGGTAAATTGTAGTAGCATCAGTTTAGCATTTCGTCCCATTACGCCCAGCCAGAGACGTAACATTAGAAATCACACAATAACAAAGATCTGAGTAGGTGTTTACTGACGTCTTTATGATTTCTACAGGCAGGTTTACCACAATAGTAGATTCAAACCCTGACGTTATGGCTTTTAGTTTCAGTGGCCACCAGAAGAATTTGAATGGCCCCATCTGGCCACGCCTATGAAACATTTCTGGAGGCGCCACTGCCTATATGTAGCCTATTTTCACATTATGAGCGATGGAAATAGCAACTTTTAAAAAGAGCGTGCATGAGGACAAAAGGGCTTGTGCACGCACACATACAAGCATGTTTTGGATTTGTTTTATTGTACCAGTAGTCTTATTTGCGGGGTAACTTTTTATAAATAAACACTGGTGAGATGAGATCCATCTGAGCGACTGGCTTATTGCATCCCCACACCTCCTCGAGAAGAAATGGGCTCCTGCATGCTCTTGCATGCGTTTAATTGGCGTTCACTCTCGGGAGCGGGTACAGGGTTGTGCATGTGCATTTATTTTTTAAAGTGGCAAATGCACAATTCGCGAAAATTCTCTATTATACCTTTAAAGCCGGGCATACACTGTGCGATATTTTCAAACGCGCTACAGCTCAAACTGTACGACGAAACCGCAGGGTTTAAAAATTCACAGCTCAGAGTGTATTTTCTCACACTGAGCCACCCGACGCTCTGATGCGACCGTACGACGGCTGGCTGAATTTCAAACATGTTTGATTTTCTCCCAACCTTACGATTCCTGATCGGGAGGTGGTCATGAGAGGCTAATCACCCCTAGAGGCTTATTACCCATCGTATACAACACAACACACGACGAGAATGAAACTCTGCCTGATCGAAAAATTCTCAGACTAGAGAATCGGCCTGAAAAGGGCAAAAAATCGTGCACTGTATGTCCAGCTTAAGTACGAGTGCGAACGACGACAATGAGCAGAAGAGAGCTGCAGTTCTGTGTTTTGGCCACAGGTGGCAGTATCATTTGAAATCATTAATGCCTCTTTAAGTAAAGTGACACATTATTTATACTTAGATAGCTGAGACCTCTAACAGCAATGCAATTTAAATTATTATTGGATTTCATTGCTTGTTTGACACAGTTGATTATAACATAGTGATTTATATAAAAGTATGTATTATAATTAGTATGTTAGAACAGAACAAAGATGAGATTCCTAAAAGTTTAACGCAAGGTCTCATGTTAACCAACATATAGCTCTGAAAAATTGTGTTGGAATGTGACGCTTTTTTTATATCTAAGCTGATGAAACACAACTTTATTTCTGTGTCACTATAGATATCAATAAGTGCAAATATTAGAACACGGAATGGATAACTCACAATGCAATTTAGATTGCAGAAAATTGAGGTAAAGATGCAACCCAAATTAAGAGTAACATAATTCCTAAAAAGCTCCTAAAAGGAATAGTCTTGGATTGTGGCACCTTAGAGTCCAGGTCATCCTTCCACTTTAACACTGCTTCAAATGTGGAGGCCCTTGTCACATCAAACACCACCAGTGCTCCCACTGCCTCCCTGTAGTAGACACGGGTCATGTTCCCATACCTCTCCTGTCCTGGAACAAAAACAGAAAGTTCCACAAATATGTGAGCGAGATTGAGGGCTTATTATAGTGGTTGCCATCATGTGATTGATTTTATTGATCATGGGACAACTTGAGTCAGTGTCAGAAACAAGACACATTCCACAAGCAGGTATCAAATACAGGGAGAGGCTGAGGCATGCAGAGGGCAGGAAGACAGCTTTTACAATCTCAGCATCAAGTCATTTTTAATTATCTGAAAGTATTTTATAAATATCGACTGTGTTTTATTTTCTTTAATGCTGTAAAACCTCAGACAGACCTGCTATGTCCCACAGTTGAAGCCGGATCACAGTGTCTTTGTCCCAGTGCAGAACTTTAAGGGCAAAGTCCACACCAATGGTCGCTCTGTAGTGCTGGGAGAAAACCTGATGGACAAACCGCTTGATAATAGATGTTTTCCCAACACCAAGGTCCCCCACCACCAAGACTTTGAAAAGAAGCTCCAGCTGCATCCCTGCAGCTCGGAAATAAATTTACCAAAAAACAAAAAAGAAAGAAAGAAGAAAATATATGAAGAAAAACTTGATGCAGTACAATAAACCTGCATGAAAAGTCATGGAAAATCTTGTTAGTTATTCCATCAAAATATAAAAAAATAAAACCTTACATCAGTCCTATCTGCAGGAGCGATAATTCC